GACGATAAATGTACGAAATGCATTGTACTATAATATTTGAGTACAGTACATTATTTAGGACAGTACTAGTACAGTACCGGTACAGTACTAGTACAATTCCCAACCCTAGATGTAATTGCACATTGGAGAATATACGCAGTAAGAAAAGTTTTCTTGATACACATACTCGGAGCATTCTCAGATCGATATGAACAATTTACGGCTTTTATTTTTTCCTGTACCAAATAAGCAATTGCTAATCCCAAAAGGTTAGATCCCTGATTTTGCATCGAGTTTACATTGTATTTTTCGTGATCAATGTTGCATTTATAATTTTATATATAAGTATAATATATGCTGTTTAAAAAATGGGTCTTTTAATGATGTCTGACAAACTTCCCAATGTTAAATATTGGACTCCAGCTTACATTAAAAAACATCTCAAGAGACATATGAATAATTCAAGTTATAATGAAGATGACATTGAAAAAATTGAAAAACAGAATATCGGTGAAAAAGCTTTTCTCAGATTAACCATACAAATGCTTATTAATGAAAATGGTCTATTCAAAATTAAGTTTGGGAACGCAACCGATATTATGGAGTTAGTAGAAGAACTCAAAGAAAAACAAGATGAGTTACTGTGATAATATATGTCTCTTGAGTAAAGTCAAGTTTCTGTTATATTATAATTTATTCCTTATTTTTTTTAAGCAGAAGAACACTCTACGTCCGTTAAAGTTGTAACCGCCTCTGAATTCAATAAATTACGTGATAACTACCAAAAAACATTGAAAAAGAATAATAGAATTATCAGTAATATGCTAAGTGAGATTAAAAGATTACATGGAGGAGAGTATAGTGTTGAATTGTTGGGTTCATATTAGGAATTATTATGTCCGCATTATATAACCTTTTTCAAGAATTTATTTTCATGTATCTGTTGTTCCAGCAATGTTTTTTATTTAAAAAATAAAGCATATATTATGTTCTTATCGTAAATCTTAAAAAATGTTACGTGTAATAATGTAATATAATTGCTTGATAACCCTGTACTACGTATTAATTGCATATATAGTAAATGCATTATGAATCAATACAAAAAAATCTATCATTTCTACCCGAGCGTCAAAACCAAAATACTTTTTTTATCCATAAACCAGCTTTACCTGTAATTGCAGTCAAGTACATATTTTTTTGCAAGCACAAACTCACATATATAAAAATTATGGTTTCACAACCTCTACACCTTCTTCTCTAAACTCAATAATAGAAAAAGTTTCTTCACGAACAATGTCGGATGTTGTTAAGGATTTTAATATGAAGGAGCTTATCGAATATTTGAAGAAGAAAAACATGAAGTTAGAGGAGTCTCACTTCAAAATTTTACGTAAGGAAGAAATAGCTAGTAGTAATTTTCTTAATACAAGTAAAGAGGAATTTCAAAGTTA